AAGCTGCTAATTTTGCCCACTACTTTTGGTGTTGGTGAAACACAAGATATTGTCCATAGGGTAGCTACTAAAGGATTTTGTCACCCAGTGTCAGGTGCCTGTTGCATGCTCTTTTTTGCACTATCCAACAAATTTTCAACCTCAAAATCTTATTTTTGTCTGAACTGCAAGCTATGCTCGTGGTAGACCCAACAAGGTTTGTTCCCTAAAGTGAGGGAGTAAATTTGACAGTTAATCCTTATTTAATTGGCCATTATGACTTTATTTGGAACAAATAGTCCAATTAAGGGCCTGTTTCCACTATAGGCATTTTTTAAACACACTAGCAGGAACTAATTTTAGCAAGAAACCAGTGGAGTTCAGCATTCCCAGCATTATAATAACCATTATTAACTTGGTCATTATAACTTTATTCGAAAAAAAATGAGTACCATTAAGGGCCTGTTTCCACTATAGGATTTTAAAGGGATCTGATTTCTGCACAAAACCAACATAGTTCAGTGTTTCCAGGGTTATAATCATAACTATCTAATTGGCCATTATGACTTTATTTGGAAGAAATAGTCCAATTAAGGGCCTGTTTCCACTACAGGTATTTTAATGCACTAGCGGGGATTAATTTCAGCATGACACTCATGCAGTATAGCATTTCCAGCATTATAATGACCATTATTTTGTTGGTAAGTATAACTTTATTGGGAAAAAAAGTACAATTAAGGGTTTGTTTCCAATATAGGCCCCTTTTATGCACTAGCAGGATCTGATTTCTACATAAAACCTGCACATTTCAGCTTTTTCAACATTATAATTGCCATTATTTAATTGGCCATTATAACCTTATTGGAGAAAAAATGTACAGTCAAGGGCCTGTTTCCACTACAGATTTTTTTGCACTAACAGGGACTTATTTCTGTGCAGTTTAGTGTTTCCAGCATTATAATCACGAGTATTTAATTGTCCATTAAAGCTTCATTGGAAGCAAATAGTCCAATTAAGGGCCTGTTTCCACCACAGGTATTTTAATGCATGAGCAGGGGCTGAATTCTGCTTAAAACCAGCATAATTCTAGCATCCCAGGAGCAAAAACACCCTAGAAATAAGCAGTTTTTTATCACTCTCAATTATAAAATAGCTCCTCTGGGGTACTTTTCCAGCAATGATCAATCAAAATTAAAAAAGGAACAGGACAGAATTTGCAGAGACCCATTGGGAGAAGAAGCTGACAATGATTTTTCCAAGGATACACTCTTCAGGCTTAGAGTTGCGTCTATTATGCTCAAACACATTTTTTGTTGATTGGTTTCATTATGTCTTTGCAAATTTCATCAAACTGTGCAAATGTGAATCATAAAAAGCACTTTAAAAGAAACTGATTAGACCCAAAAGGCCACATTCTCAGGAATAATAAGTGCAGAAAAAGCCGTAAGTGGATACAGGCCCTGAATGGTGCTAAAAAACACAAACACTGGATCAAAAACCAAAATGCTTTTTCTGATAATTTACTTTAAAAATAACAAGTACTTTCAAACTCATCCAGCTGAGTCTTTCTTAGATAAAGCGTCTGAGTTGTTCACAGGGGTTCTGCAGGGACACAGCCTTCAGGTGTGTAGGAGAAACATCTTCACTATGACATTCATAGAGTATGCCAAGGAGAGTACAAATGCATACAGCAAAAACACCTACTGGGGCTGTGAGACATATTTTAACGAAGACCCTGTGCAGCACAGAGAGTTCATGAGCTTCTTGTCCTGAAAACAGCTGCTTCTCGCTGCTGCAAATGAAGAGGTGTGTAATCATCAGCTGCATTGTAAAGTGCGCCTGCTCAAAGTGCAGCAGCGGTGATTTATTATCCTCAACCTGAACTGGACTCTGCTATTGTGTTTCTTTGTCTGCCAGGTGTGTTGTTTTTGAACATTATGAGAACGTGAGGAGCATTTTTGGACTTTCACCGAGGCTGCTTAGCACTGGAACAAAAAAGAAAGTTAGAGAGTGTGAGAAGCATGAGGTGGAAAAACTGTTACTATGGTTACCTGCAGTTTGATTTGACTCAGTAAACTTATAATATACAGTAGATATTCTAGATTAAAAGTTTCTGCTGCTGCAATCACTCTTTGTGTGTTTACTTATTGTAGAGTTAGTTCGCACTTTGACTTTAAAGCTGGGTCTTGAGTTTGCTTTTAAAATTTCATACCTCGGGTCTTCCGGTTGGCTGTTCCTCAGATGTGGGATATAATAAATGCCTCACCATATGTCCTCACCCACTACCTAAAGACCCAGGATTATATTATGAAAGCAAATCTGATAAATAGATTGGAGCAAAACTATTAAGAGCCTTAAAAACCAATAAAAATAAATACAAGATGTAGATATCTGCAAACTCCTGACACTTCCTAAAACTGCCTTTGCATGCATTTATTATGGAACTTGCACAAAAGATAAAGACATCAGACAGTATGCAAATATTTTCATGTAATACATATTTGTTTTATAGATCTATTGGCATTAACTTCGTCCTTGACAAGTGTATTTCCAGCTTTTCCAGTTCCTTCCATCCCACTAGAGTCTGCTTTCCAGCTTTTTCAACTACATCCACCTCTCTCTCTCTGCATCTCCCTCTCTAAACCCGGCTCAGTCTCTGCAGATGACTTTCTAACACGAATCCAGTTCTGCCCGAGGTTTCTGCCTGTTAAAGAAAGCTTTCTCTAACCTTCTATAACCCAACGCCATGATCTCTTCTGCAATAATTTGCATGTTAAATGTGTGTTTTGTTTAGCAGAGAGGGCGTAACATCAGTCCTGCAGCTCTACAAGCCGGGTCACTTCTGGGCACGCCTTGGCTGCACAAGCGTGATACGTCAGCGCCTGCAGGGGTTTGGTTTTCCAGCTTCACAAAAGCTTATTTTAAAATGCAACACACCTAAGAGTCCTGGCAGATGTCAGTCCAAGGTGAAATATAACAAACTTTTCTACGTCATTCCCAAATCAATATATTATGTTGAGATTATTTATGTATGCTGTGATGTTATAAGAGAGACAGTATACAGCAATCGAGTCATCATAGAGGAAATAAAGCCCGTCAGAGGAAGGCCCTGAATCCCCCGGTAAGGGTTTATCTGCTGCTATAATTCAGCCGTACACCATCTGTACTCTTACATAACACAATAGTTCCAAACACATAAAAACTCCGATGCTCCTGCAGATGCAATGAAACAAAATGGAGATCACACTGACAGGAGCTGTGGCTGAAATAAGCTCTGTCACCTTGAGGTGTCTGAGATAAGGGACTTTTTAAAAGCAGAACTATGTCTTTGTGCGCCGGCTCTGGCTCTCACATCTTACCATTCCACTCCATCTCGGCGCTACCTGGGCTTTCATTGGCTCTATCGCTCTTGAGCTGAATCTGTGATCTCCACACACTAAAAAGGACTTACTCTGTACCCGGCAGATGTCTGGTCATAAATATGAAACATGTCTGATGGTATCAGGGCAGCTCAGATGTGTGTGTCTCTCAGTCTGGGTTTGTCTGAATTTCTAATCCCCTCACGCTCTCTATCAGCCGTGATATCTTTGCTAAATAGCCGGTGAATAACCCAACCTTGCCACTCAGAAATTATGTGTGTGTTTCACTAAACTGCCCTCCTGTTTATCCTCATATAATACAATCTAATCGCTGTCCATTTGAGAGACAAAAGCACTTAATTTGAAGTTTTAAGGATCTGTTTTTTTGTCTAAACGTGACGGCACTTTGGTTAAGATCGGGAAATATTCTGTGTCTTGTTGGATTTGATCAAAAAATCCACTGAGTATTTGACTAACGCTGTTTTCCATGTGCTTTGGCTGGTTATAAAACTAAGATTTACACAGATGCCTCAATGTAACTTGAAAGAGCGAACTAGGTTGTCAGAAAAATCACTTTTTTTCTCCATAATCTGGTCTTAAACGTCTGTAATCACCACCACCGGAGCAGCGTGAGACAACGTGATTTACTGCACCCTGCAAAAAAACAGCCTTAGTTTGCAATTTTGGCAGCGTGATTTACACGGGGAGATGGATTTGACACGTAATAGAAAGCAAAATGAGATATTTTACAAGGGGGGAAAAATGAGAAACTTGATCATGTACAAGAGCAAATCTGTAAAGAGATAAGATGCACTGATTTATTCACAGGAGAAGCTCAGACAGAGAATATGCGCGTTATATACAGTAGAATGATCAGGCCTGTCATAGTGAACATGTTCATGAGTTTCACGTTTCTTTAAATCACGGGCTGTTTTAAAGTTTCACACTCGTGCACTTTTGAATGGCACATCTCACTTTAAAAACTCCCAGACGACATTGTTGACAAGCTGAAAGTCATGTGCACTCAGTGAAAAATGAAAACATCACCAAAGTCCTCTGAGTTTGACCTTTCTTTGCATATATTCATACATATGCAGCTAATCAAGCAGGTGTCTGAGGACCACCATATAGCAAAAGCTGGCAGAGCAAATGAATTAACTTCAGCATGTGCGAAATGGGACATGGGTTTAAGGGTCACCCTGAGGTTGGCATGTTATTATATGGCTTTCTGTCCCAGACGCAATTTTTTTTTTTTTTTGTAGAATGGTAGGGGAAGGTCCTGCACTTTTTCGCCTCTGATTGGCTAGAAGTGCTGGGCCCTGATTGGTTATTCCTAATGGCTGTAAAATGTCATCGTCTGGTTAGTGTTTGGGTTAGTAGATTCAGAAGTGCGATAATGTTCTGTAATGTTCTGTTTGATGTACAGAGCCGACAGCCCGCGTTTGTTTTGAGCTGAATTTTGTTGCTTTACATGAAATCCAAAAGCAAACAAGACCATCAGCAACAAGAATGACAATTTTAGTGTTTTTATTTTTATCTCCTGAAACTATTCACAGAAATGACACATGAAACTACTGAGAGTTAGGAAATTGAGAGGTTTTTGTAGGGGACAAGATAAGCTAAGACTGCTTTGTCCACAGGGGGCGCCAAACTTGACACAAACTGAAAGTTCTTAACTGTTAAAATTCAACCACTAAGAGAAAATCATTTGAAAGGCAAAGTAAAAATATAGATATGAGCACACAGAGAGAAGAGTTGATTCAAAACCCGATTTTGCCACAAATAAGCTCGGAGTTGAACAATGAGGAAAACACCAAGAAAAACGACCTGTTATTGTCAGAAAGAGAGAGAAAAGCTGCTTTCTATCATGGTTAAGCGATACAGTGGCAGATATGTTACAGCTGAGTTGGTGATGAATACCACTCTGAGTGCTCGTCTGACAGGTTTTTGTTGCGCCTATCATACTCTCAGCTCCTCCAGTGGGATCATTACGAATGCAAATCCCAGTCGCAGCGGTGTTTTATGACACCTGTTCTTGTTTTCCACGCCGTTCCATGCAAGTGTCCCGTGGAGGACTTGCAAATCAAGACACAAAACGAGAGAAGGGCGGACAGGTAGGCTCTCTCAGCTGTCAGCGTTTTCCCCTGTCTCCCTTCACCCTCCCCCCCTCCCCATCACAGCTCTGCCATTTGTGTCGCCATCAGTCATTTTCACAGCTCCATCCCTCTCCCTGTCTCCCGCTCTCTCGATGTTAGATGAGGACATTGCACCCCACCTCTACCTGGTACTTGAGCATCTGCTTCTTCCTGCTGCTGGTTTTTCTCCGGGGAGTTTGAGGTTTGTGGAGGGCTCTGTGTGAAATGGGTCAAAAAGTGTCCTCGTACCTTTGCAGATGTCTGGTTCATGCAGAGGGAACCAGTCCCAAAAAAACACGCTGTGGAAACAATGAAATGCATGAATCTGGTAATACCTGCATAACAGAGACTTAACATGTTGTTTTCTACCTGAAACAATCATCAGGTGAGATAGCAAAGTAAGAAAAAAGAAACTTATATTACAATAAATAACAGTTAAAAGTTAAAGGAAAACATCTTAATTGATCAGTTCTGCAGTCTAATTTTGATCGTGCCTCTCTGAAGTTGCTCATGGTCATTTTTTGGCTTTTTTCAAAACCAATTTCTTGACATTATTTTTATTTTCATCTCTGAAATCAAATGATTCACCTCTTCTTTGTTACAACTTTCTGTTAATAAGCAGACCTTGAAAAAAAAAGGCAGTGCGGAAAAGGTGGGTTTGGAGCTGGGTCTTGAATCTGGTGAGGTCGGTGCAGTTTCTGAGGTCCAGTGGGAGTGAGTTCCAGAGGGTGGGGGCATTTAATATGAAGGAATACCAAGTGGAATAATTTCTGCTGCTGCATGAGGCTCAAGGATGAGAAACATAATGTCAGATTTTTCATGATGAAAAACGGAAAAATGTTAAAACCTCAAGGATAAAATCAAAACCTTGATAAATTTTGGCTTTAGACTTCAAATGTTGACTTCATTTCCAAATTTTGACTTTTTGTCTCTGTACTAAATTATTTCTTTCCTTCAAAATTTTGACTTATTTTGTCAAAACTGAAAATCTTTTTTTCTGCTCTGCTAAATCCTCTCATTTCATTCACTGCAGCTTTGGATACCATGTAACCCGTTAGTTCTGATGAAACATTTGACCACTCTTAGTGAACATGGTGGTAACACCTCCATGCTGCATCCAAAACGAGTAATTTTGATGTAATTATATCACCTTTATGCCGATCCAGTAGATGTGGAAGCTCACAGTGAATCGGCCGAAAATGTCTCTTAAAAGTTCCAGATATTTCATATCTTATAAGTTTTGTATTCTTTATATCAGTAGTTTGGTAACTGTGGTGAAATACACGACAATTAAAATTAAAAGCCCTTTTCTAATTTCTCATGTATCATAATGAATTCTTATTTGAGCCTCTTTTTTGGCTTTTTGCTGGTGGCACATCGTTTCTTCTCTTTTAATTGGCTTTGTAAATTAATTAAAAGTGCAATTAAAGGTGGGGTAGGCAGGAATCTGTTAAAGAAGCTTCTTTTTTTGTGGTGTTTATACAAAAAAGCTTTTAATATCAGTCAATAGTTATTAGTTATTGATGACCTTTGGTAATATAACAAGAGCACTCCGCTCTTTCTGACTGTAAACAAAGCCTTCCCTACCTCCCACATCCTGATTGGTTGTTAGGCGGACGCTGCTCCCCCGTGTCGTTCAGGAGCCCAAACAAAGTTAGCGTGCTACAATATTGGATAGTAGAAACCAACCAGAAAGTTCAGAAAATTGTCTGAATTCTCCTTTGGCCACGACTGCCAACACAAGCAAAAAAACGAAGTAAATACCGAAGACTCTGGCAGAATATCGGGCGCTTAAAACGGAGGTAGACCGGACAAGAGCTAAAAAGCCGGGTCAACATAAACGATGGGGGACGCTTGGGGATCTTGGTGACCCTGTAACCTTTCTGCTGGACAGGTAAACCTCTTTAACAAAGTAAGCCAAGTGTCTGTAACAGAAGTGTTTCTTGTCAAACGGACCTGCTGTAGCGTGTTGTAGCGCCATCGCTAAACTGTTGACCTCGGGTCCTGGACTGTGTCACGTTCTCCTAGTTGTAGAAGTCCTGCAAACATTGTGTTTGCTGGTAGTCTGTTGGCATCTACAGTAGCACCAATGCTTTTGACTTTCACCTTGACTGGGCCCCATTTGTAATGATCTGAAGTATTTATCTGCATTATATCTGAATTTAATTGAAACGATACGAGCGAGCAGGAGCGTCTGTTTGTGGGCGGGGCTTGCTGGAGCAGAGAGGGAGGGGAGAGGAGGAGCTGAGGGGAAAACTGGTTGGGAGGGGTAGAGTTTACATTCAAGATTTCTCCCAAAAACTGGCACTAACTCAGATCCTGACTACCCCAACTTTAAGGAGAAGATGAAAAAAAAGTCAGGTGCAGTGGATTTTGGCAAAGTGAACCCAAAAAGTTTATTTGAAAGGGAATCGTTTTAGTCATTTTGCACACTTTAAATGGGCGATGGTGGTGGGGCTGAGTGTGGTATCTCTTAAACTGGTTTTTGCAGCTTTATCATGGCACATACTGGAGCTAAAAAGGTTTATATTTAACGTAGACTTACTTTCTCATGGAAATATGTTCTCTTCTCTATGAGACGAACATCTCCAGGGCGATTATCTTCAAAATCCAAAATGCAAAACCAAGACAAAGTTCATGTTCAGACCTACAGCAGTATTATCAGGGCGAGGTACGCTGAAGCTGTTCCTCCTTGTCTGCTTCTTTTGCATTGTAAACATGTGATTTACTTAACTTTCCATAAGGTGTGTGCAGATGCTAGCCTAAAGAAACAGTCTAAAAGTCAATGGAAATCAACAAACAGAATTCTGAGTTTTCAACATTATTTTTGGTGGAGGTGGAGTTTTAAAAGTGGAGCTGTTATTTGTGCAAACCCCGGTCTTGTTTGTGCCACAGCTCAACATGTATGGGCTTGTACCTGTGAGGTTTTCTCAGGTAGAGCCAGGAGAAGCCCGTGTGTCTGTTTGTGCAGATTCACTTCACACAGCTCACCGTCTGGAAACATCCTCCAGTTTTTCCAGAAAACACATGTGAGTATGAACTCCAGATTTGGCTTTAAGCTTCAAACTTTAGGAAAAACTATAACTTCTCTGGCATTGAGGATGATCTTAAAAAATGAACTTCCCTTCTGGTCAGACTTGTTCTTCAGTAATAACGTCTCTTTCCGCTCTCTCTCTCTCTTTCTCGGCCTGAACGCGTGTTGCTAAAACAAAACGTGGATGTGTTTTGCGGATGGTTCTCTCTTGTCTGCGAGTTTGAGAGCAGTGTTTGTGATGGGGCTCCTGTGATCTGAGCGGGTTTTATTGGAAGTTTCTCGCTCTGTATTTTCTGTGTGTCTCTGTGTTTCACAATATGCCTCCAGCTCTCTTTCCCTTCCTTTTTTCACTTCCTAAGAAAACAGCCCAAACACGAGTGAGATCCCTCTGAGCTGAGTGTGCTCTGAGCTCTTTCTGCTCTCAATATGATGCCATCAGAAAAAAACCAAAACAAGTGGCTGTTTTTTTCAATCCTGCCTGACGCCTTGTCCTTAACCTCTGAGGGTTTGATAACTCATCTCTTAAAGCTCAATCTTAACTTTTGAATCAATTAGCTCTTTTTTTATCAGACGTGACATTAGCGGGAATGTGATTTAATCCTGTCAAAGCCAAGGAACTAAAAAAGGCTGAACATTCACCCTGCTGCTCCTCCGACTCTGAACAATATCTAAGATACGCTGCTGATCCTATACTCTGCAAACAGCATCTCAACGTTTGCACACTTACAGTTTCACTTTCTTTCTCATCGTCATCTCAAACAGGAATGTGTTCAGATTTTCAAATCACCTTTTTTCTTGTCAGTTTTATTTTAAATGCATTAAGAGTGACACTTAACCTGCAGGGTAAAGGTGTTATTTTGCAGGTAGAAGCGCACAAATGTACAAAAAATGTTTCTTGTATGTTTTGTGTCATGACCTGGCTCAGGTGGTCACAACAAAAAGAAGAAGGAAGACACACACCATGTATGAACTCCCAAACAACTCTGTTAATTCAAATTGAATCAAATTAGAATATGTAAGGTATGAGGTGTGTACATCAGTAAAAATCAGTATTGTGTAAGGCGTGCATGAGTGGAAGTAGGTGTATGTGTGCGAGGGTGTTGTAAAGAGCAAACATAAACTACAACTAAACCGAGCCAAACCAAACCGAACCAAACTAACCAAAGCCAAACCAAATAAAGCCAAAATAAACCAAACTCAGTCAAGACAAGTCAAGACAAGTCAAACCAAATCAAATAAAGCCAAACCAAACCAAGTCAAACCAAGTCCCTGTAAAGGCAGCCAAGAGAGGGAATGGCAAGTAACTGTGGGAGCTTAAACACTCCCAGCACCCAGGGCCCAGGTGTGCATAGTTGCTCTGATTAGGGTGCAGAGAGAAGCCAACCAGACACACCTCCCACAGCAGCATGACCGTTTAGGGACATCACATTTGTTTAAAGGGATATTCTGGCATAAAAATCTTCTGCCTCAGCATCTTGGTCTGATTGCATTTCCATAAAGTAATGATCATTAATGTTCTTCCTTGAGCTGCGTCACCCCGCTGTAGTCTGCAATGGACTGGCCTGAGGTCTCACTACAAACAAGCGACTGCTGGAAGAGAGTAGGTGAGTTGTGTTTAGTCTCTTTGCTAAAGAAATTAGGCAAAGTTAAAAAGACGTTTGGTGGCTGTTGATGAAGTTAGGTGCTGTTCTGAGCATTATTTGTGGCTATAGAGTGGTGTTTTGGTTGAGGTTTGTTTATGGCTCCTCAGACCGCTGTGTATTGATATCCTGCAGTCGTTACTAAAGTTGGTATAACTAGAGAAGCACGCAGTTAGCAACATTCATCTCTCGAGGAGGTGTCTAACTCGGTGTTGCGGTGTGTTTGACCCTGAAATTAATTATACACTGGAATATCCCTTTAAGTCATTCAAGGTGTAAAAATGCAGCAGAGGACTTTATGATTAAGGCTCAGAAGTTTCCAGAAACCTAAATGTACACAGAGGGAAAGATTACGCTTTGCTCACTTGTCCTTGTCTGCATAATGATGATGTTTTAAGCCACTTCATTCCTCACAAATCTCCACCAAGTTTGAACAGAACTACACAGAAAGTGTAGGATTCTATCACTGGAATAAAAAGCAGAAATGACGATAAATCTGTGGATGTTACGGCTTCCCTCTGCAGCCCTGCAGAGTTGTTTTTATGGCCGAGAGGTGTGTAGCCAAACACACACTTCAGCTGCACTCGGTTCTGTCAGCCGGACAGCTGTGACAGCAGAACAGACTATGTGGCTTTTGGTCAGCACTGTTTATTTGATGAAGCGGGCTGCTGGACTGCGCTGCCTGCAGCAGTCTTTTTCTAGGTGCAGGTGCTGATGACGAGACGGAGGAGGTCAGAACTGTGCCGCCGGCTGAGTCACACTTCAGGTGAAGAAGGCGAAATTCAGGTGTCAGTACGCTGAGTTACATCAGCCGCTTATGAAGATGTTTGCAATCATTGTTGAGTGGAGTGTGAAAAAGGCAGAAAAGTTTGGCGATGAAAACTGAAGTTTGTTACACACCGGCGAATTAGCGAAGTGAATAATTAGCTTTTTTGAAAACCTCATAAAGTAAATAAGAGCTTCCACACCAGCTACAAACTTGTGTAGAGCAAAAAAGCAACTAATTTTTTAACCTCTGTGGTGAATTTTGCAAACATTGACAGGTGAACTGCTGTATAGGGTGACCATACATCCCTTTTTTGTCCGGACATGTCCTCCTTTTGGGGGGCTGTCCAGGGAATTTTATAAAATCCTTTAAATGTCCGCAGTTTTTTACGTAAGTTTGGAGTTTGTGTCATGTGGACTTACTGAGTTAGAAGTGCGTAAAAGACACTCGATCTGACCTGAAAAACTCTCAAAATTAACTTTGTGCGACTCTGTGACCCTGCCCCCACGTAGTTGTGTCCTATTTTTGAGAAGTCAGAACATGGTCACCCTACTGCTATATAAATCTATAGCCTAAAGGTCATTCCACACTGGCGAATAAGTGAAAATTAGACATTGAAATGTTATGCAAAAATGTTCAATATTTGGCTTATGCCTTTTCCTATACACACCTTGTGCAATGCGGATAAAATTTGTAGATTCCATAAAAATATGCCACGGTAGAGCAGAGGAGGAGAGAAAAGATGGAGAAACAATGGCGACTTTGCAAATTTTATTCATGTCACACCAGGTGTGTATAGGCAAAGGCGTAACCAAACTTTTTCGCATTTTTGCGTCGCTTTGCTAATTCGCTGGTGTCTAACGACTTTAACACCAACACAGAAGCACTGAAGGCTGCAGTTCCTTAAGTTTCCACTTGAGGCAGCAGAATCCAACAAAGATAAGGATGACTAATTATTTACTTTTTCGCTGTTTTCAGGTGCGCTTATAACCACATTATTAGGGGCTAGGCTTAACTGGAGTCATTCGTGTTGTTAAACTGTGCTGCTTTCTACCTTGCGTTTGATTTCTTTGTAATGGTGAAGTAGTTAAGAAGTGGTTTTGGCCATTTAAACCTCTGTTTCTACTATTTGGACTGTACCCACTCATAAAAAAGTTTGGTCTCATAGCAATTAATCAGCCTTCCCTCCGATCTGAATAAGCTGCGAGTTTTCATTATTGTTTTTGTATTTTATAGTTATTTTTGACTCTAATTGGCCTCCTTTGTGCAAATATAACGAGGCAGAGGTGACAGCCAACCCTCACTGTTTGCTTTGGCTTCGACAGAGTTGGTGCCGATGTTAATATTCATGTGACAACACCAGCACATCCTAAAGTTTGGATCTCCTGGTCCACTCTGTCGGGGATGGATAGAAATGACTGCACCATGTATTTATTATCATTTTAGATGCAACCAACACAGTTTTGTGCTACACTGAATGAGTTCCCCTGCTTTGGAGCCATGCCGGCTCTGCCTACTTGTACCAGATTGCATTGTGCACAAACAGCGACAGCCTAGAGTCCCTGCTTTTCTCCAGCTGTGTACTTTGGCTATGAATGCAGCTTGAAATCTAAGTCAGCCAGAACAGAGTAAATGTGTTCTTGCCCGTGAAATTCCATGCATTCGTATTTCGGGAGCTCTTTTCACTGTTTGCTGCTTAAATCTGAAAGCTTTGGGACACTGACCACAGCTCCCAAACATCTACTCCTGACACTTTATAGAGGATTTTACGGCTTTGAGGCCCTGAAGTGTTTAAGAGATGCATCTCACACATAATGAGAGATTGTTAACATGCTCGAAATACTCTGATTAGGGTTGGATTCAAGAGGCATCTGTCAAGTATTCAGTATGAACTCATGGGGTCCCACAGGGTTCAGTTCTCGGTCCAGTGTTTTTTTTTCCATTTGCATGCTTTCCTTTGGCAATATCAGTATATCAATATATCAATATCAATATAAGAGTCGGAGTATAAGGTCACCATGAATGGGATTTTCTGTCTGCATCATATGGACCATGTCTGGAAATGTTCAGGAGCGTTTGCGTTAGAGGTGAGCATCGTAACCTCATGATTCGATCTGATTCCGATCATCTGCTCAGCGATTCAATTTGATTTTGCAATGCATCATAATCACCTCTCACCTTGTGCACAACTAATTTTTCACCACTTACTACAAGCAGTCGGATACACATGTAATGGCTACACAGCTAGCTTTACTCTTGATTACATTACCTGGTCTTTGGTTACGTCGTAAAATGCCCGCACAGCAGTTTCTGTCAAGAGTCTTCTTATCAGGAGGTTATACCGAGGCTCAAGTGTCTTCAGGAAGTAGTGAAACCCAACATTTTCTACCACCAAGTAAGGCCGTAGATCCTTAGCAATGAAGCATGCAACAGAACAGGTGATCCTCATCCCTTTCTCCGAAGCAGATGGCAAAGTTGTCAGCGCTTGTTTAATTGTTGGCTGGGATGTGCTCGCTGTTTTCGTGGCTGTTGCTGCCGAAGTCCTCACAGGGTGGAAACGTTCAAAATGTTTTGTCATACTAGTTGTATTCCCGAAGTACTTCCTATTGAGTTCATAAAAGCCAAAATGAGCCTAGATGTCTGATTTAAAGGTAACGAGTGCATCTTTGATGACTCGTATGGTTTCCGCCGTATCCATGTCCGCCATTTCTGTTGTTGCATGGATGCTAGTGCAACGTGATGTGCATTTCATTGCAACTCTGCCCCCCAAAAGTAGTTGAAACCTCACAACTTTATTATCCAAGCGTGGCCAGAAAAATAATGTAAATAATATAAGGGGGGATTATGTCACGTCGCTGCATCGATGCGGATTGTGCACAGCCGAATCGCATTGCATCTTTGAAACGATCATTTTCCCCACCTCTAGTATGCATGTGAAGGAACAACAAACTGCAAAATGAGGGCATCCCCACTTCATACCCAACTCCTAATGACAGAAATAGGTTAAAGTTCCTACTGTATGATTAGCGCTTCAGAGGACACAGCTTGCAGATAAAACAGTGAACATCTCGACTCACAAACGCCGTTGTACCTGTCAGGGTCACCACACCTTTGTACAGTATATTATCTCGGGTGTCATTGTTGGGGACCTTCTCTGTACTGTAGTTTTTATCTCCTCCTCACATCAGTCAGATTATGTAAATGGCTCTAGCTCATCCTCTCCAGACTCTGAGTCTGTCAGTGCAGATGCTTGTTCCTTATTTATTTGCTCCACTTTCCAGCATGTTCACTTGCTGTAATTCCTTGTATTACATTCACAGCTCTGACTTATTCTTATCTGATTCCCCGCCACCGCAAAGACCCGCTTCCCCCCGCGGGGAGCATTAAATTTTAATCTAATTTAGGATTCCACAACAACAAGTAAACTAATGACAAGGGGATCCTGCTAGTTTGGGTGTAAGCTGCTGAGCTGACATAAATCAAACTCACTGCAAACAAGTAGAGAAACAAGCCTGTCAAAGATTTAGTGAACCCAAATTTACAGTGCTCTCTGCAGTTTTCCCCCCATAACTCAGACCAAATATAAGTTTATTTAACCTGAAGGAGAGACAAGTATATGTTTTCTGCAGAAATATCGCACAAGTCAGACATTTTTATCCTCTCAGTGTATTTATGTCAGCGCTAAAGCGGATGTCAAAAAGGCAATGTGTGTTTAGTGGACTGAGGAATTAAACTTTGTCACCCCTGCTAGTCGGGACCAGAATTAACATTTATTTTTCTTTAAGGGCCGAATGCCAATCTGAAATTTATGTTGAAGGTGTAGTGCAGCCACCAGTAGAAGCTGCAGCTGTGTCTGGTTTATGGTTTCTGCTCCAGCGCTTTATTTATCTACTACCTGGATGTAAACAAGCTCTCCTTGAGGGAGGAGCTAAATCAGAATAGATGATAAATCTCTCTGTATTTCCTGTCAAAATGAAATGAAGTTTATTTGAATGTATGATTTCAGCAGAATAGCATTACTCGGATTCACAAGGTGTTCAAACTTGGTTAAAAATAGTGGTTTTTAATCATGCAACTCACTAAACAATCAAAAGGAATCAAAAGAAACAGCCTTTTAGCCGGTGATCAGCATGATAACATTGTGGTCAACATCAGAGTTTATCTATAGACTGAAGGCTGGTGGTGCTAGCTCTGCTAACTTTAGCCGCGCTTTGCATTGTTGGCACTGTCTATCTGCAGACCCTGTGATCTTGTGCTGAACAAGGTTAGATAAATCATTCTTGATTTTGACTTTTTAAAAAACATTTTCTTCTTTAATTAAAGTAATCTGAGTTTTGAAAAAAAGGGAAACAATCACTTTGCAACATCCTGAGTTACTTTTAGTGAAATTCTTGTCTCTAGCATTGACTGCATAAGAATTGGACAAACCCACAACTAACTTCTCATCACTTTCTTCAAGCAGTCAGATACACATTGTTTCACACGTAATGGCCACACGGCTAGCTTTACTCTTGATTACATTACCTGGTCTTTGGTTTCGTTGTACAATGTCCGTACAGTAGTTTCTGTCAAGTGTCTTCTTATCGGCAGGTTATGCCAAGACTCAAGTGTCTTCAGGAGGTAGCGAAAGCCGACATTTTCTACCATGGAATAAAGATGTAGATCCTTAGCAATGAAGCACACAACAGAAGGGGTGATCCTCCTCGAAGTTGTGAGCGCTTGTTTGATTGTTGGCTGGGATTTGCTCGCTGATTTCTTGGCTGTTACTGCCGAACTCCTTACAGGATGGAAACATTCAAAATGTTTTGTCACATTAATTGTATTCCTAAAGTTTATTTTCGTGGAGCAGACTTTACACACAGTGTTTGTCTTCTCAAGCTTCCAATGAAGATAATAAAAGCCGAAATCAGCCCAGACGTCCGATTTAAAGTTTAGAGTTTGTGGTCGATTACTGGTCTAGGCTGGCATTTCCGCTGGTACTATCTTGTATTGATTTATTTGTTTATATTTACAGGTCACCATGGCAACTATAGCTCGCCATGTCTTGAGTTAAACGCAGCTTTATCCTCTAGTTTACTTAAGTAAAAGCGAAAATCAGACATTAAAGATTAAAGTTGCGATTAAGACATTAAACAAAGTTGTTGTTTTTTTTGAGGCCCCCTGCTGGTCATCGAAAAAAAGCAGTTTCAAAACTGGTTGGTGGTCTACATCTGCTGCTTTTACAAATTATTTTCCTTTACCTTGAATTTAATCAGAGGTGTTGGTTTGAAATAAACTTGAGTTTTCATGAATTTCATCGGCTGAGTTTGAAAACAAGACAAAAAGTGTTAGTTTCCATTTTTTAATAAAATCCCACAATTATTGATTCGTATCAGTTAATTAAAAACTGATGTTAGAAAATCAGATAAACCATTAATATTAATACTACAGAGATAAAACTTTGCTTTAGAGTTTGAGCCGTTTCTCATGTGAGTCATCTGACATTTCTTGCTCTGCAGGGCTCCCGTCGAGGACGTGGTGGCGTGGGGGGAGTCACTGGACCAGCTTCTGGAGTGTAAAAGTAAGCAGACACATGGATTTACTCCTCTCCTCTGACTCCTCGTCAAACGTTCCTCCCTCGGTTTTCGGCCTCTTCTTTAACCTTCGCCCGACTCTGCCGCTCTGCCCTGCATATCATCCTGAGCTGGCCTCGGGCTCCTTTAGGAGGATCAGGGATATATTCTCCCTTCAAGTTCATCAAATCCATTCAGAGATATATTTAAGGGGGGATGACACTGTGCGGAGATAAGAGGCCTAATCTGAGCTGCCGGTGCAGACAGGGTGATTCCAGCCTGCTCTCTTATTCATTTATAAAGCCGCCGCCGCTCTCTTCTGGCTTTCACCTGACTGTTTTCCCAGCCTCTGTTTGAAATGACTAAAAGGATTCAGATAGTTCTCTCTCTCTCTCTCTCTCTCTCTCTCTCTCTCTCTCTCTCTCTCTTTCTCTTTCCCCCCTTTTTTTTCTCCCCAATGTCCCCTCTCTCATTACCGTCTTGAAATGAATTCAGCTGATCTGTAATATTTCAGCCCGTTGTCTCTTGCGTTGAGATTAACTGTCCTCCAGATGATGAATTCGCTCTTGCGTCGCAGTTGCTGTGTTTCGGTTTGAAGAAACGCGTTGACACGTGTGACAAATGGATAAACAGACTCTTAAAATAAATAGCCAGTCTCTTGCAATCTTCGCCATTCATATACCTTTGCATCCTGGTGATTTGAGAGAGCGGATAGTGTTACGATTGAAGGCTCCGATATGGACAGGGAGTGATTCATAGATGGAAACAAGCGGCCCCGGACATACTGTTTCCTGTCAATTACCGTCAGAGCGTCTGCTGTGATTTATGTAAAGTAATTTGTGTGAATCACGCCAATGCTCGCAGTTAGCTGTTTGTTTGTGCTCCCTGCAGACTTTGCTAAGTATGCTACACCTGCATTAGGATCGCAGCTCCGCGAATACTCCTGTGACAAAGGTAATGGGTGTGGGGAGAAGATAACAGCGAGTATAGGAGCGTGCAATTATGAGATGCCGAGGCGCCGCACATTGGGATGCAGCGTTTGGTTTTGAAGGGTTTTGAAGTTAATAAGCGCTCGTAGACATCCAGCATAAAGCCGTCCTCTCTTTGTTCACCAACTTCTTTGAGCGAACAAAGTCTACGAAGTGAAAAGAGAGTATGTGAGTCAGAGATAAAGCAGCTTCACCTTTAGTTGAGGCACGTTTCTGCTATGATTAACCCCGAAAATGCTGTTTTTCTTTTTAAAGAGCAGGTTGATTTAAATATTATGTCCCCAGGCACGCTAATGTGTTGTTTTCGAGTTTAAAAAGACCCTGACCATGGTGGTTTACTGTAAACAAGGTCTGTGGAAACAAAGCACAAGGTCGTAAATCTTCTGGTAATACAAAGTGGAGACACAATGTGGAGACAATACTAATGAGGCAGTTTCCCTTCAGATGGAAATAAAATCTCTCTCTGGATGATCTGAACTCATCTCAGGGTCTTCCTAAGGGTTGAGTCATGATGGAGAGATTGAATAAAAACACTTAACTTTGCTGCATTTGCTAATTAGACTTGTTAAAGGTCGTTCATCTGCATTTAAAAGATTCATTTTTCATTCAAGTCTTAGTTTTAATGATTTCCATGGACTGTTTTATCTCGTGTTCGCCACTAAATCAACAAATCTCAGCCTTTAACACCAAATTATGCAAAACTAAAGACTCTTTCATGAGGCTACAAATACTAAAAAACTAATAAATGTGTTTCTAACTTCTTAGACCTAAGCTGTGCCAATATACCGGGATTGATAATAAAGTTTGAAATATTGATATCATGCAAAAAAATAAGCAGAAGCAGCCATAGATCAGAAGAGATGAAGAAGACGTAGCGGGACAGCTGTAGCAGCCCGTTAAAGTTCCACTCCAATGTTTTTTTAATATTATTGTTTTTATTATTTAAAGTGCTCTCAGTGGTCTTTAAATTGTCATTATAAAGTTTTTTGCCAAAATCACGTTTTCAAGCTCTTTTCTTCTGCAGAGCTTCAGCAGCTCATTAGCAATTCGCCTCTGAGTTGTGGGCGGAGTCAGCGCCGCTCTTATAGTCGGTTTCATAGATGCAAAGGTGCAAAAATGAACCACACAAAGACAGAATCAAGCTGGCAGCCTCTCGCGGGATTTTATTTTAGTTACAGCATCGAACACAACTCATGACAATCAGACGGACGGTAGAAGCCCAAAAATCCTTAGAATCCTCAGAACTGTTCCTTCTTATACCACCCCAATGGCGTCATTAGTCCTATTCCCGTAAGCGGACTTCACGTTGGTGTCTGATAGCCAACAACGTGGCTTCTTCTGTAAACATGCACATATCCTTGCTTCCACACTCTGCTCACTCCTCTTCATTCTAGCTTGTAGCCTAATATTGCAGATGCAGCAGAAGTGGCAGGTAACATAGGAGCTATTCAGCTCTGATGATGAAAGTTAATATCATAGTTAACTTTTTTGCTAGCATTGCTATCTGCTAGCGCTTGCACTTGTTCCGCCATCTTCCTCTCTACTTCTGGGGGTCTGGCCTGCAAAGTGGAGCTGCTGGCGGCGGGGCATGGACAAGATGATTAGACACATTTGCTGATTTGGTTACCCTTTTTAAATTCAAATTCAACTTTATTTTTATGGCACTTTTTAGACAAAAAAAAATGTAGCTCAAAGTGCCTCACAGAGGCTAAAAACAACAATTAAACAACAATAAAACCCTCCCACCCACACGCCCACCCATGGACCCACACACACACAGAGTGAGAATTTAAGATGTATTCTTAAAGAGACATGGCCTGAAGCCAAGATAAAGATAAAAAATGGTAAAAAATAGAGACTGAAACCTGATGGACTAAAAAAAGAAAAAGAAATACAATGAACAAATAAGTAAAAGCTCTTTACCTTATAAAAAAGGGTAAAAGAAGTAAAAACCTCTAAGGCAGGAGTTAAGAAAAGGACTAAGAACAGAGATAATTAATAAGATAACATAAAAGAAACATTAAGAACTTCGATTAAACTAAACATTTGCAATAAGAGAAATATAAAAAGACAATTAGTGAAAAGCCTGGTTAAAAAGGTGAGTCCTGAGCCTCTTCTTAAAAACATCAACAGTCTCATATCTTCCCTCACTCTCAATTTTCCACATTCATTCTCTCTCGTCAGTTATCCTATCAAATTTGGCAGAAATGCACAAAAAGCATATATCAAAATAAGGGTAAATAATTAGCAGCATTTAGTGAAACAGACAGAACTTGTGCACAATCGTTAACAAGTCTAACGGTTCTGGTTCAATCTGCTGCAAACTTCCGCCGCTTGTGCAGTGACTGTACAAAGGTTGTTTTAAAACTGTGGCAGAAACAGGTCCTTGAAATCTTGTTTTTCGAGATTCAGTTGAACGTTCGACACTGTCAAGGTTTGAAAATGTCTCTGCCTCTTTGTGTGCAGCCGGGCAGCTGGTGTTTGAGGACTTCTTGAGGACAGAATACAGCGAGGAGAACCTTCTATTTTGGCTGGCCTGCCAGGAATACAAGAAAATTACCTGTGAGGCGGAAATGATGCTCGCTGCCAAAAGAATCTACACAGAGTTTGTCCAAGTTGATGCACCGCGGCAGGTACGGCTTTTGTAAAGTGGGACATGAATGGAGTCAGACCTGCATATCTTCAAATCAGCTTCAATTGCTGCTCGCTTGCTCTCGCTGTCACTCCTGCATGCTTTCATTCATAGGACAATCTTTGAAGGCCACTTTCTCTTTCTTTTCTGCTCAGCGCTGCACATATTTAACTTTCTGAGCATGACGCAGGAGGATGTAAAAATATCTCCAAACAGACAGAAGCCATGAGTGAAATAAAAGTTGCTGTTTTTTTCTGAACGCAGATAAACATTGACTGCGTGACAAGAGAGGAAATCAGCGAAAATCTCTCTCAGCCGGGGCCGAATTGCTTCGACAGGGCGCAGAGACTGATATACGTTCTGATGGAAAACGACTGTTATCCGCGATTTCTCAAATCTGAAATCTACCAAGCTCTCCTGGAACAGCAATGAAAGCAACGTGGAGGGAAAGACGACCGTCCGACGTCTCTCACAGTGATTGATTCTGCCCTTCAGCCGACTCTTCTCAGGATCCCGGTTTAAAACAAAGAAAGCCGCTCTGAGGAGGCAAAGTGAAAAGAGTTACAGAGTCTTCGGTGAGGATGTAAGAGAGAAACATGATCTAAATTATGTATTTAACACTTTTGAAGTCCAAAGTTTGTGTGTGTTTCTTTGTGTCGCACAATAAAGGCAGTAAATGAGAGAAAAGGAGTGATACCAAGCTCTTAAAGGTGGACATTCGAGGAAAGTGTAGGAATAATTATGAGAAAGCAAAATGAAATTAACTCAATCAAAGCTTTCTGCAGTTTTTTCTGAAGGGTCTGGATCACAAAGCTCCACCTGCTGCTTTGGTATGTAAAGAAAAGCGAAGAAAAAGTCTTTTGTTTCACTTTGAATTAAACGTAAAATCCTATAATCTGTCTGCCTTTCTGAATCATCAATTACACACAGTGCATTTAGTTTGTGACCAACCACCATGTAATTATGTTTTCGTTTGAGAAAAACTCACATTAAACTGTAACGCCTGAAACTTTGTAAGCACTTCATACCCCGCGCTCAGAAATAAGTTATTTTTCACAGTAAATATTCCGCAGGAAAGAAAGTTTGTGTTGGAGAAATCCTGCAGCTGTTATGACGGATTATGATCATTAAAAATGATTATATGTTCGAGCATGTGTGTGTGTGTGTGGAAAGATTGGATTATTGGGTGTTTGTGCAAAAGTCCAAAATAGTGAGAGTTTTGTAAAGTCGGAGTTTGACGAAGTCTATGTGCATAGACTTGAGTTGGGAAAGGGGTCCATAAAAATCCTGATTTTTTTGCCTCAGTTGTGACAGCCTGAGGGTTGGTCTTCTGGTATATTCTGCTCTCCTCTCTTTTGCTGGCTCTGTTTCTTGTTGCAGGTTGCTGTGGGTGGAGCTAACCTGAGAGAGCTTATCAGTGATACAGCACACCTGTGCAGGAGCTGAGCTGCTGCACCACAGTCTGCTCACTCTTTACTGACTGACAGACTGGCTTTGTCTTTGTTTGTATATTTTGTTGCTGGACGCACTCACACTTGACACACACTGACTGTTACATCTATTGACCCTCACCTCATGGTTTTCTTCATGTAATTAAATACTATTGTAAATCATCGCAGATTATCTGTGGTCTCCCTCTGTTTGTCACACCCTTTTTGAGCCAGGTTGTGACACAGTCCTCCCAACATATGGGGGAGGACTGCGTTTAAGCAAAAGTAGGTCAAATGCATCAATTCAGGTGGTGAATGAAAAAACCACTAATCAATAAAATCTGATCTGATTGTAGCTTAAAAACCTATTTGTGCTACCCTAGGGCTACCCTTAAAACCATATTCATTTGTTAAAAAAATACCACTTTTTTTCTTTTTTTAAATAAATAAGCACTTTTTCTTTTTTATTTTAAATAAGCACTTTTTCTTTTTTATTTTAAATAAATACCCCCATTTTTATTTTAAACAAATACCCTTTTTTTCTTCTTTTTAAATTTTAAATAAATAATTTTTTTGTTTTTTTCTTTAAATACCCTATTTTTTCTTTTCTTTTTTCTTTAAAATAAATACCTTATTTTTTCTTTTTCTTTTAAATAAATACCTATTTTTTCTCCTTTTTTTTTTTTTCCCCTCATCTTCCTTGTGTACTCGCATGGATAGGGGCCCACTGACATTGAGAGAGTACAGGGCCCAGAACTTGGTGCCACGCCCCTGTCTGTGTGAAGATTTAAAACTGTTATAGAGTGAAAATACACATCAGAAAAGTAAGTGGCCTTTCCCAGACTGTAATTTCCCAGACTTGAGCTGCGTCCGAATTGCCAAGTAGTAGTCGAAGTAGTAGTCGAAGTAGTATCTAGCATGTCCGAATTGGCCACCGGAGCGAGTAGCATGCTACTTCAGATACTACTTCAGATGCTAGACACGCCCACATTGTAGGTTGGTCTCGGTGCATCCTACGGACATGCTACTGACCCAAAATGCACCGCGGGCTTCTTCTTCGTCCTCTTAAAAGTTGTAGAAGCGCATGTGATGCTAGCGCCACCAGCTGCTCTGCCTATTTAAAAGTGTCGCGAACGCCGGCTGGCCACAGCAGCGCGCACCATGTCGGAGCAGCAGCAGCAGCAGGCGGGACCGCAGCAGTACAGATGTAAGTTTCATGTAACTTCACACACTGTCCTAAAAAAATGTGCGGTTGTATCTCTTTGTCATGTCATGGTGTCATATTTGCCCAAGTAATCATTTTATGAGCAAATATGTGGCGACATCATGGAGGTAAAGCTCACTTATTCCATCATTAAACTGCACAGCTGCAGTACTACAGCCAGGCCCGCAGATGAGGGGCTTCAGTTACCACTGTCTGCACGGGCGCAGTACCTACTCTCTGCCTGCGGGGGTCGTCTTTCCCCACCGCTCGTCTAGTGTGTCCGAATTGGGCCAACGTTTTTAGTATGTAGGAGTAGGATCTAGCAGTAGCACGTAGCAGTAGCATGTAGTATCCGAGCGGGCAGTTCGGACGCAGCATTGAGCTCTTCCACGACATGTCAAATACAATCATATACTTCCTGTCACATGACGCTGTTTAGTTCCCAGTTTACAGGAGCTAAAACCATCATGAACCCTCACATATAGAGGTGAAAAGATCTAGAATAGAGATAGACTGATTAAGATAGACCATCTGAAATAACAGCATCTCAAATTTAAACAGCCGCTGTCTGTTTTTGAATATAAATTCTGTTATGATGCATCAAATAATTCAGTTTTCTATCGATATTGGTATTTCAGACTGAAATACCTAAACCATGTCTATCTAAAACATGTAACAGACCAAGATTACCATGCACTTTAGGTTATAGTGTGCATGAAATAAAAATAAAAAAACTTTATATTTCCTGTTTTAATAATCACAGACGGCTGGACAGAACTCCAAATGTCCATTATGGTGATATTTCACTGAGCCAAATATATTCAGTCTGCATCAATTTTCAGGAAATAATCATTTCAGTTCAGCTATTTGTCATATATTGTCAAACGCAAAAAAACAATAAAATTATATTGGCTCTATATATCATCCATCTGACCGTTTCTCAGCCACAGAAAAACTAAAACCTGCTGACTACTTGACTGGAGTCCACCAAAGAAAACAACAACCCCACAGCATCTAGACTGTGACAAACGCCTGGTGTAAAAACTTTGATAAAATCTCTGTAATCATAGAAATCATGGTATGAAACTGTGCAAACATGATGCAAACCTGTTGTTGGACTCCTGGAAACCTAAAAACCTGAGGCAAAGTTTAAGGTGTCCCCAAAAGAGCTGTGGTGGACCTGCTGGGTGGATGTGTCTCTCAAAAGTCTGTTTCTGGGTTCAGGACTTCCACAGTTATCATAACGAGCTGCTTAGAGGACCCAGAAAACATGTTTCTCCTTTGAACGAAGTCTCAGCGCCGTCTAAAGCAGCTGCAGCTGGAGGTTGGAGGGTTGATCCCACTCTCCACAAACCAATGTGTTAACACACTTGTGAGACACTTGACCCTCCACCGGCTGAACCCGACACAGTCCAGCTGAACATGAAATACGTGAACATATTATTCCAGAGCCAAAGCCAGAGTTTCAACATTCAACACAAATGACACAGCTGCATGTTTCTGTCAAACCTCCTGAGTATCAGGTGCATCTTTAGTCTTATTTTGTGCCATTACATCCTGCATATCTTTTTTTTATTTCAGAGTTTTTGCAGCGTTACCATGGTTCCTCTGATAAAATGAACTTTTTTGCACAGCCACATTTCTCTCTCTCCATGCCATCCATCTCCCTGTGAAGGAATACGCTGCTGTTTCTTCTGTTGTTTCTGATAAAAACCCAGGGTTGTGACATTTCCCACCCTTGTTTCTTGAGCTCGTATGCCCTCCTGTTATGTTGTTGACCTTGTGTGGTGGGTTGAGTTCCAATGTTGCTGCTTCCTTGTATGAAACCCTTTCTTGGACCGTACACAGAGAGTGTGCATCTGCAGAGTGTGGAGCGAGCAATTCTGCAGAGAACTACCTTCAGCCGGCCTGATTGGAGGTCTGGCATTATCTGATTGTATTCCTGGCTTTCTGGAGCCCGGCATGGGCTTAATACTTCGGAGAGATGGAAGGGATAGGAGAGAGTTCAACGGAGGTCAAAAAGTGGAAAGAGAAGAAGGGAAGAAAATCAGGAATGTGTAATTAGAGAGAAAGAGCAAAGAAGAGGGAGGGAAGGGCGGGAAAATAAGGCAGCGGTCAGGAGAAGAAGAGAAGGACGAAGCAGTAATGAGAAAAGAAGAAACAAGATGGAGGTTGAGCGAGGTGAGGGGATTAGGAGAGGAGAGGAAGAAGTGCCAGTGCACTGGTGGAAGAGGAGAGGAAGGATGGAGGGACGCGTGGGAGTGAGGGAGGGCTCAGGGGGCAGCGAAGCCCCAGCAGGTCGCCGTAATGTGAGCAGCAGAGGCTGAGATAATACCCCAGGGCTTTGGGCTGGGGGAGACGCGAGTCGCAAAGTCCACAGTGGGCGGGAGATAAGGCAACAGAGTCTCTGCTGACAGCCACTAACTGTTCAGTCCGCCTGTCTGCAGAGAAGGAAACGTAACGCCGTCTCAACGCAGAAACTCTCACAGATTAACTCCTCCTGTGGAAGACTTCCAGCCTTTTAATACTTATAGAAAGAGTGATGATGAAAGAGTGATTTTTTTTCCCTCTACTATCTCATAATCTGAGGAGCCAGCAGCGTTTCTCTTCCAGCTCCCTTCTGGCCAGTGTGCTGCGAGCGTCTTTGTCAGAGACGAAGCGCAGAGACCCTGCAGCCATGCACTACTATTCTGTGGATAAATATTTAACAACGCCGCCATCATGCTAGTCAAAACAATATCTGAAAATCACATGAAACTATGACTTCTCTTTCTTGAACCTGGTGAACAACTTCGGTGCAGAAAGGCAGGATTTATAATTATATAATATTATAGTATGTAATATTTCCACTTACTTTCAGACAAGTCAGGATTTAAATTTCTGTTTCCATGACACAAAGTTAGTATAACAGAAGTTCATAAACGTGACCACACCCTGATGACATTATCTCCTCCACCTGTTCAATCACCGAACCCAAACCTCTCAAACCCATTCTCTCTCGTTTGTCTCGGTTCTCAAGACCCTTTTTCTCATCTCTCTTCTCTACACTCTTCCCTCTTCTTAAAACAGGTATTGGAGGGTATGGAACCAGGGACATGTCAGGACGTGACCCCACTCAGAGACTCCTCACAATTCAGCTACATAATAATGTTAGGCGGAGCCAAGTTGTCCATAGTATAAACAGTCTATGATCTTGACCCCTAATTGAGTTTATTTATTTATTTAAAACTACAAAGATTTTGGTTGGTTTTGTGAGTGGCGCATTTATCTTCACTAACGTATCTTCAAAGTAACAAAGCGTGATCATGTTCGTGAATAAGAATTTAGCGGCTTCGAATTATCCCGACTCATGATATCTCGAAAATGCATTTTATCAAATTGAGTACATTGGTGTATCACCGTGAGGACTCCAAAAACAGGCAACTGAGAACTGAAGAAGCTTCTTGGATTAGAGGCGAAACGTCTTCTCAACTCTACACAGTCCAGTTCCCTGTTTTTGGAGTCTTCAACATAACCATGATCTGGATGAATGAGAATCTACATGGACATATTGGTGTATCATCTATTGTATTAAATGGGTATATTTTGGGTTTTGTTGTGGCCACTGTAGAGTAAAAAAGCACCAGCCACCACTGGTCACCAGTCTCTCTGGGGGGTAAAGTAGGGTGACCAAACATCCTCTTTTACCCGAACATGTCCTCTTTTTGGGGGGGCTGTCCAGCTTTGTTAGGGGAAGTTGATAAAATCCTTCACATGGAAGTTTGAGTTTGTGCATTGTGGACTAACTGAGTTAGAAGTGCGTGAAAAACACTCAACCTGACCCGAAAAACCCTGAAAATTTTGCGTGCAACTCCACCCTGCCTAGTATTGTCCTTTTTGGGGGGATTCGGAATATGGTCGCCCTAGGTAATGAGGTGAAAAGTTCAATAACCCAAGATCCAAAATACATTGTTTCTCAACTAGAACTTGATTTCCTTCTG